TCATCTCGCGCCGGGCCTTCGCGGGGCTGCTGGCGCTGGAAGAGCTCACGCTGGAGCGCTGCAACCTCACGGCGCTATCCGGGGAGTCGCTGGGCCACCTGCGCGGCCTGGGCGCCCTGCGGCTGCGCCACCTGGCCATCGCAGCCCTGGAGGACCAGAACTTCCGCAGGCTGCCCGGGCTGCTGCACCTGGAGATCGACAACTGGCCGCTGCTGGAGGAGGTGGCGGCGGGCAGCCTGCGGGGCCTGAACCTGAGCTCGCTGTCCGTCACCCACACCAACATCAGCGCCGTGCCGGCCGCCGCGCTGCGCCACCAGGCGCACCTGACCTGCCTCAACCTCTCGCACAACCCCATCAGCACCGTGCCGCGCGGCTCGTTCCGGGACCTGGTCCGCCTGCGCGAGCTGCACCTGGCCGGGGCCCTGCTGGCCGTGGTGGAGCCGCAGGCCTTCCTGGGCCTGCGCCAGATCCGCCTGCTCAACCTGTCCGACAACCTGCTGTCCACGCTGGAGGAGAGCACCTTCCACTCGGTGAACACGCTGGAGACGCTGCGCGTGGACGGGAACCCGCTGGCCTGCGACTGCCGCCTGCTGTGGATCGTGCAGCGGCGCAAGACGCTCAACTTCGACGGGCGGCTGCCGGCCTGCGCCACCCCCGCCGAGGTGCGCGGCGACGCGCTGCGCAAGCTGCCCGACTCGGTGCTGTTCGAGTACTTCGTGTGCCGCAAGCCCAAGATCCGCGAGCGGCGGCTGCAGCGCGTCACGGCGGCCGCGGGCGAGGACGTGCGCTTCCTGTGCCGCGCCGAGGGCGAGCCCGCGCCCAGCGTGGCCTGGGTGACGCCGCAGCACCGCGCGGTGACGGCCGCCAGCGCGGGCCGGGCGCGCGTGCTCCCCGGGGGCACCCTGGAGATCCGGGACGCGCGGCCGCAGGACAGCGGCACCTACACGTGCGTGGCCAGCAACGCGGGCGGCAACGACACCTACTTCGCCACGCTGAGCGTGCGGCCCGAGCCGGCCGCCAACCGGACCCCGGGCGAGGCGCGCAACGAGACGCTGGCGGCCCTGCGCGCGCCGCTGGACCTCACCACCATCCTGGTGTCCACCGCCATGGGCTGCATCACGTTCCTGGGCGTGGTCCTCTTCTGCTTCGTGCTGCTGTTTGTGTGGAGCCGCGGCCGCGGGCAGCACAAGAACAACTTCTCCGTGGAGTACTCGTTCCGCAAGGTGGACGGGCCGGCGGCCGCTGCGGGCCAGGGGGGCGCGCGCAAGTTCAACATGAAGATGATCTGAGGGGCCCCGGGGGCGGGGCGGGGCGGGGCCGGGCCCTCCCCCTCCCCGCGCACCCACCGCGCCGCCCGAGCATCTTCCGGAGGGGGCGGGGCGGCTCCCCCGGCAGAATTTCCCCTTTTTTTGTAGACGCCCGACCGCAGGACTGGGTTTCATCAGCCTGCGTCTTTTTGCAGTTTCTCAAGCGTTTTCTAAAGGTTTCAACCCGTCTTCCTGTCCCTGCTATGGTGGCTGAGCTGGGGGAGGGAGTGCGGGCTGCAAGGATGGGGGGATGGGCTGCCTTCTGCCAACCCGGGACGGCTGGGGGGTGGTCTCAGGCCCGCAGTCCACACCCAGGAGGCACATGGCTTCCGCTCCCCAGCCCTTGGCACGAAGGTCACATGGGGGAGACTGTGGGCACCCAGCCCCCAGGGGAGGGTTCATTGTTCACACCTGGGCGTCCTGCACCTCACACGCAGAGACACACTGACACTGGAACACAGCCACACAGGTGAAACACCTCACACCCAGAGACACCCGGAACACAGTCACACAGGTGAAACACACCTCACACCCAGAAACACCCGGAACACAGTCACACAGGTGAAACACACCTCACACCCAGAGACACCCAGAACAGTCACACAGGTGAAACACACCTCACACCCAGAGACACCCGGAACACAGTCACACAGGTGAAACACACCTCACACCCAGAGACACCCAGAACAGTCACACAGGTGAAACACACCTCACACCCAGAGACACCCAGAACAGTCACACAGGTGAAACACACCTCACACCCAGAGACACCCAGAACAGTCACACAGGTGAAACACACCTCACACCCAGAGACACCCAGAACAGTCACACAGGTGAAACACACCTCACACCCAGAACACACAGGTGAAACACACCTCACACCCAGAGACACCGGGAACACAGTAACACAGGTGAAACCTCACACCCAGAGACACTCCCAGAACACAGTCACACAGGTGAAACACACCTCACACCCAGAGACACACCCAGAACACAGTCACACAGGTGAAACACACCTTGCACCCAGCTGATAATAAAACCAGGCCCTGGGCACCAGAGCTGACCACAGGGGCAAGCAGGGCTCTCATGAGAGCACAGCTTACACCTGGGACACAGCTCATGTCTGGGACATGCTCAATTCACACCCAGAACACACACAGCTCACATCTGGGACACGTTCAGCTTACACCCAGAACATGCTCGGCTCACACCTGGGACACATGGCCCACCCCAGGGCCGGCTCAGCTGAGCATCTCCCAGCCGACCTCTGGGCGTGGGCTCAGGTCTTGCTGAGGACCCAGCACACGCGATGGTTCCGGTCAGGGGTCCCCACACCCCGCCCTCTGTCCTCCCCACAGCCCAGCAGGGGTGTCCACAGGGAGGAGCCATCACCGGGTCCCTCCACCTCCCTTCGCTGCCACTTGCTTCCCGGAACAGCAGGCAAGAGGGGGCCACCTTGGCCCCAGCCCAGGAGCATGGGTTCTGGGGTGCTGTGTGTCCCTCTAAATGCGTCTACTGGAGGGACCTCAGACAGGCCCTGAGCGTGGCACCATCATGCCCTGCCCTGCTGACCCAGGACTCAGCTGGGGAACGAGACCAGGGAGCACGGGATTTTCGGGGGGCCCTGCCATGTGCATTGCAGAGGCAGTGAGAAGAACAGGGCTGCAGCAAGGGCGTCACCGTGCAGCGAGGCCTGGACCCCGGTTCTTGGGAGAGGGTGACGGAGGAACCTTGGTCTCTGCACCTGCAGGGGCGGGGCAGATCTAGGACCAAAGCAGGAGTCACAGGCCGACTGCAGCTCAGGTCAGGGAAGAGCTTCCCCCAGTCCACCGCTCTGTCACTCTGCAGGTAGTGAGCTCCCTGTCACGGGGGGTAAGCAAGCAGGAGCTGAGGTTTTGCAGGATTCAGACACCACAGAGGGACCATAGGGACCGTCTGTGACCGGCCTCCCCACAGCTACCTCTTGCCCCTCCCTTCCACATCCGCCAGAGGAGTTAGGACACTGCTGGGGGCAGGTACAGGAACCATTATTAGGCCAAAACCTCAGCCAGAAAGGGCTTGGTCGCCGACCAAGAGGTTAGGACGGACCCTCCAGGACTTTGCAGGAAGGGCTCAAAGGCAGCTCTGCTGCTGCCCAGCTGTGTCATCTCAGCTAGCGACCGAGGACCACCGGGACCATCAGTGTCATCTGTAAGACGGGTCTGAGGGTCAAACCCGCGACCCTGTATTCAGAGGCCAGGCCTGCCGGCGGGCTTGACAGCTACACTTGGGGTCCTGGATCCCTCCAGCCTGCTCTGAGATCAGCCAGAGAGAGACAGAAAGACGGCTGAGCCCTGGAAGCTTTGAGCGAAGGTTTCAGACGGAGCTGGAAGGAGACACCAGATCTCCCTGAGCTGTGGCCGGGAGGGTCCGGGCCGGCCCCAGCAAGGCTCGATGTGAGTGAGGCGTGACGTTCCTGCAACCCCAACCCGCCACCCCTGAATTGGGCAAAAACAGTTTTTTGTGTGTTGTTTGTGTGTGTGTGTGTGTGTTTTTTTTTTTTTTTTTTTTTTTTTTGAGACAGAATCTTGTTCTGCTGCCAGGCTGGAGCGCAGTGGCGCGATCTCAGCTCATGGTAACCTCCGCCTCCCAAGTTCAACTGATCCTCCTCCCTCAGCCTCCCAAGTAGCTGGGATTACAGGTGCGTGCCACCACACGGGCTGTTTTTGTTTTTGTTTTTGAGACGGAGTTTCGCTCTTGTTACCCAGGCTGGAGTGCAATGGCGCGATCTCGGCTCGCCGCAACCTCCGCCTCCTGGGTTCAGGCAATTCTCCTGCCTCAGCCTCCTGAGTAGCTGGGATTACAGGCACGCGCCACCATGCCCAGCTACTTTTATGTGTTTTTAGTAGAGACGGGGTTTCACCATGTTGACCAGGATGGTCTCAATCTCTCGACCTCGTGATCCACCCGCCTTGGCCTCCCAAAGTGCTGGGATTACAGGCTTGAACCACCGCGCCCGGCCCTTGTTTTTTGTATTTTTAGTAGAGACGGGGTCTCACGGTGTTGGCCAGGCTGGTCTCGATCTGTTGATCTCATGATCTGCCCACCTCGGCCTCCCAGAGTGCTGGGATGACAGGCGTGAGACACCGCGCCTGGCCCCAACTATTTTTTTCTTAGCACCTGCCTGACTGGTTACCATGACAACCCCAAGGGCCCCCCCAAAATTGACATCCAAGTGCCTTTAGCCTGTCAAAGACAGGAAGGGGCGTGTTCTCAGCCATGTTAGGGTTCACAGAGCGTCCGTATATTAGGATTTCTCAGCTCCCTGAGCCCCCCACCCCTCATCCTGCTGTATTTGGTCCCAAGTCCAATAAAAATGGAACCGGTTTAATAACCTCAGATTTTGTTCTTACGCCCATGGGAACACCAGGGGGCAGGGGGCAGGGCTGAGGGATGAAGGGTTGCCAGGGTCCCCAGGGGGTGCTGCCGAAGCTCCAGCCCTAAAGTCGTCCCCGAGAGAATTCCACACAGTGACGATGTGACAGGCCACACCTCCGCAGCGCCCATGTTCCCGGCGCTGTTCCAGGCACGGTGTGCGTTCACCGCTTTCACGCTGAGCCCTGTGAGCTGGGTCCTGTTATGAACCCATTTTACAGATGGGTCGAGCGAGGGGCAGAGGATGGAGGGAAGCCGCTCTGAGGCCCCAGCTAGGGACAGGCGACTGGTGGGGAAACTGAGGCACGGAGAGGCGACATGTGGAGAAATTGAGGCACGGAGAGGCGACTGGTGGGGAAACAGGCACGGAGAGGAGACAGGTGGGGAAACTGAGGCACGGAGAGGCGACAGGTGGGGAAACCGAGGCACGGAGAGGCGACTGGTGGGGAAATTGAGGCACGGAGAGGCGACTGGTGGGGAAATTGAGGCACGGGGAGGCGACTGGTGGGGAAATTGAGGCACGAAGAGGCGACTGGTGGGGAAACTGAGGCACAGAGAGGCGGCAGGTGGGGAAACTGAGGCACGGAGCGGCGACTGGTGGGGAAACCGAGGCACGAAGAGGCGACTGGTGGGGAAACTGAGGCACGGAGAGACAACAGATGGGGAAACTGAGGCACAGAGTGGCAACAGGTAGGGAAACAGGCACAGAGTGGCGACAGGTGGGGAAACTGAGGCATGGAGAGGCGGCAGGTGGGGAAATTGAGGCACGGAGAGGCAGCGGGTGGGGAAACCAAGGCACAGAGAAGCAACAGATGGGGAAACTGAGGCACTGAGCGGTGGCAGGTGGGGAAACTGAGGCACAAAGTGGGGCAGGTGGGGAAATTGAGGCATGGAGAGGTGGAAGGTGAGTAAACTGAGGCACAGAGAGGCGACTGGTGGGGAAACTGAGGCACAGAGAGGCGACTGGTGGGGAAATTGAGGCACGGAGAGGCGACTGGTGGGGAAACAGGCACGGAGAGGAGACAGGTGGGGAAACTGAGGCACGGAGAGGCGACAGGTGGGGAAACCGAGGCACGGAGAGGCGACTGGTGGGGAAATTGAGGCACGGGGAGGCGACTGGTGGGGAAATTGAGGTACGAAGAGGCGACTGGTGGGGAAACTGAGGCACGGAGAGGCGGCAGGTGGGGAAACTGAGGCACGGAGCGGCGACTGGTGGGGAAACTGAGGCACGAAGAGGCGACTGGTGGGGAAACTGAGGCACGGAGAGACAACAGATGGGGAAACTGAGGCACAGAGTGGCAACAGGTAGGGAAACAGGCACAGAGTGGCGACAGGTGGGGAAACTGAGGCATGGAGAGGCGGCAGGTGGGGAAATTGAGGCACGGAGAGGCAGCGGGTGGGGAAACCAAGGCACAGAGAAGCAACAGATGGGGAAACTGAGGCACTGAGCGGTGGCAGGTGGGGAAACTGAGGCACAAAGTGGGGGCAGGTGGGGAAATTGAGGCACGGAGAGGTGGAAGGTGAGGAAACTGAGGCACAGAGCAGTGGCAAGTGGGGAAATTAAGGCACAGAATGGTAACGCGCAGTGGCTGTGAGGGCTCAAACCCCACCTGCCCAGGAAGGCACAGGGAGAGCTTGTGCTTTTTAGGAAGGAGACGCACAGAGCCGGGACACAGACGCTCCAGCCAAGGGCAGCCTCTCCCTTGCCCCGGTGTCGCTGTCCGTCTTCGGTTTCCCCGTGTGAACCTGGGACGAAGCGTCCTTTATTTCCCTGCCCTTCAGGGGCAGAACAGAGGCCCGGCCGTGCCTGGTTTCCAGGCGGCTGCAGGGCGCGGCTCTGGGCCGTGGGACGCCCCCATAGAGGCCGATGTCCCGTTCTCTCCCGCAGCAAAGCCGGTGACACCACTGCCCCGTGGGCCGCGGTCTCCTTCCAGGAGAGCCGGCCGCGCCCTGCGCAATGCTCTGCACGTCCGACGTGAACCAGCTGCGGTCTCCACGGTTTCAATGAATCGTGTCTCATTTGTGGGGTGCACTGGGTGGGGGACAGGGGAGACCCCAGCTGAGAGGCCCTCCCTTTTCAGGGAGCCAAGACGCAGCTAAAGTCACACCTGTCTCCTTGGCGACTGGAAACCCAAGCAGGGACCCTTAAACACAGGACTGGACCAAGCCATCCCCACACCCCATGTCTGGGTGGCTTCTGACCGAGCCTGCCTTGATTTCCCCTCCCAGATGGAGCTAGGACAGCACGTGGGGTGCCCCAGCCCACACCTGCACACCCGTGGGTCTCTCACCCCAGCTACTGGACGTAGTGGCGGGAGCCCGTGGTCCCAGCTACTTGAGAGACACACGATTGGGGTGTCTCTCTCTCACGTCCCCCAACAAGCTGCCACCTTTTCCAGGCGATTCCCTGAGCCCTGCAAATTCACTTCCCTCCAGTTACTCCAGGACAGAGGCACGATTACCACATGCAAGCTTTTGCTTGTGGGGCCAGGCCTCCGGCCTCCATTGCTGTGTGGCCTGGGGCGAGTCACTGCTCCTCTTTGGGTCTCCATTTGTTTGTCTGTAATTTGGAAGATAACAGCCCCGCAATAGGCTGGGCGCGGTGGCTCACGTCTCTAATCCCAGCACTTTGGGAGGCTGAGGCGGGTGGATCACCTAAGGTCAGGAGTTCGAGACCAACCTTCCCAACATGGCGAAACCCCATCTCTACCAAAAATACAAAAATTAGCTGGGCGTGGTGGTGGCTACGTGTAATCCCAGCTACTCGGGAGACTGAGGCCGGAGAAACCCCAGATGCAGAGACTGCAGTCAGCTGAGATCACACCACTACACTGCAGCCTGGGTGACAAGAGTGAAACTACCTCAAATAATGATAATCCTGCGATAGTCCTGTGTCACGCAGGATCAGCTACTCAGGAGGCTGAGGCAGGAGAATCGCTTGAACCCGGGAGGCGGAGGTTGTACTGAACCGGGATCGTGCCACTGCACTCCAGCCTGGGGACAGAGCAAGACTCCTCTCAACACACACACACACACACACACACACACACACACACACACGCTTCCTACAACCAAAGTTACAAATGGCCACAAACCTAGGGGTTTAAAACAACTTAAAATGATGCTCTGACAGTTCTGGAGCCCCAGAGTCTAAAATCAGCCAGCAGAGCTGGTTCCTGAGCGGGCTCCAGGGGAGAATCCGCCTTCCGCCTTTTCCGGCTCCAGAGCTGCCCACATCCCTGGGCTTGTGGCCGCACCACCCTGACCTCTGCTTCAGTGTTCTTATCTCCCCTAACCCTGAGCCTCCTGCCTTCCTCTTATAAGGACCCCTGTGTGGACATTGGGCCCCCAAAAATGGGGACCTCCCTATCTCAAGGGCAGCTGAGATAGGGAGGTCCCCATCTGCAACTTTGATCCCCCTGGACAGTCACCTCGTCACAGATTCCAGGGATCAGGACACAGGAGCCTTTGGGGGCTGCTACTCTGCTTACTAATAAACAGAGGGCCGGGCGTGGTGGCTCCTGCCTGTAACCCCAGCACTTTGGAGGCCGAGGCAGGGGGGGATCACTTGAGGTCAGGAGTTCAAGACCAGCCTGGCGAACATGGTGAAACTCCATCTGTACTAAAAGTACCAAAAAAAAAAAAAAAAAAAAAATTAGCCTGGCATGGAGGTGGGCGCCTGTAATCCCAGCTGCTCTGGAAGCTGAGGCAGGAGAACCGCTTGAACCCAGGAGGCAGAGGTTGCGGTGAGCTGAGATCACGCCACTGCACAAAACACAGGCATTTTCTCAAAAAGGCCAATGTCATGTGAAATCCATCCGCATGTGGCATCCCTGCCCCGCACTGGCGGATGCCGGGGACCCAGAGAGAATGTGGCCCCAGCTCCCGTGGCTCAGTAAGGGCTTCTCTAATGAAAGGGTAGGACACTGCAGGGTCTGGATGGGTCCCATCCGGGGGCCACACCACACTGCCAACAGGCTTTTGGTTTTGTATTGTTTTGGTTTTTTTTCGGAGACAAAGTCTCATTCTGTCACCTAGGCCGGAGTGCAATGGTGTGATCTCAGCTCACTGCAGCCTCTGCCTCCTGGGTCCAAACAATTCTCCTGCCTCAGCCTACCACATATATATATATATACATCGTATTTTTAGTAGAGACGGGGTTTCACCATGTTGGCCAGGCTGGTCTTGAACTCCTGACCTCAGGTGATCTGCCCACCTTGGCCTCCCAAGGTGCTGGCATTACAGGCTTGAGCCACTGTGCCTGGCCGGACCCCCTACTCTCTCTGGGCCCCTTTCCCCTAAGGGAAACGGGATGGGGGAACCCCACATGAAATGCATTCAGTCGGCCAGGCCCGGTGGCTCACGCTTGTAATCTCAGCAGTTTGGGAGGCCGAGGCGGGTGGATTGCTTACGGTCAGGAGTTCCAGACCAGCCTGGCTAACATGGTAAAACACCGTCTCTTTAAAAGGGAAAAAATAAATATTTGAAAAAAGAAAAGAAATGTACTCCGTCCACACAGCAAGACCATCCTTGGGGCGGGGCGGCGCGGCTCACACCTGTGATCCCAGCGCTTTGGGAGGCCGAGGCGGGAGGATCGCCCCAGGGGTTCGTTCCAGGCTGCAGTGAACTGTGATTGCACCACTGGCTCCAGCCTGGGCAACAGTGCAACACCCTGTCTCCAAAAAAAAAAAAAGACAGTTTTGACAGGCAGGCACTTCAGCTGGAATTGCTCCCCGGCGTGGCTGCTTTGCTTTCAGGTTTTTTCCATTCTTGATTTTCCCATTTATGGTGATTATATCTAAAACGTCTTTTTCTAAATAAATGCCTCAAGGCAGTGAGGAAGGAGGAAGGGGAAGAGGGAGACGATTACATTTTTTCAAAGAAAAACCCACCCGCGGCGGCTGCTACCAGGATGGATGTGGGAGACGCTTTTCTTTCTTCGCCGGAGCAGGGAGAGGGTGGAGGTTTGCCCACAGTCACACGGCGGGGCGCGGCGGAGCCGGGAGGGTCCTCACCCACACTCCACATTCGGGGGCCCTGGGATGGGGCGGGGGGCTGCTGGGGCTTCTCAGATGCTGCTGCTGGAGGGGAAGCCACAGACCCCTCTTGCACTGAACACGGGACAGCTGTCACCTTGTTCTGTGCCCTCCCCTACGGCGGGTGAGCTCTGCCCCCCATCTCACGGGGCTCCCCACTGCCTCCCACCCCAGCCTGGCCTCTGAGGCTTCGGCCTCCCTGCCACCTGCACCCACCCGGCTATCAGGCCTGGCACTACTGACTTTCAGATGCCACCTCCCGGTCTTCGTCCGGGCTGTTCCCTCCGCCCGGGATGCTCTTCCTCTGCGGGTGGGTGGGGGAGAGGCGGCCCCAGCGGGTGGGGAAGTGTTGCCCAAAGGCCCCCCACCCCTCCCCGGGCTGCGGTCTGACAGTCGGCCGGACCTTTTCCTGTCGGCTGCTGGTGCCGGGTCAGACCCCTCCTGCGAGGCGGGGGGCTGTGGCCATTGGGAGTTTGTCCCTAAGGACCCCTCCTCTCTGGAGGTCACACCAGTCTTGAAGGTAGGGGGCTCCTGGAGTAGGGAGCTGGACAGAGACAGCCACTTTTCGAGGTTGGGGGTCTGGGCGGGGGTGGGCTGGGGCCTGGCTGCCGGCAGCCACCACACAGCTCTCGGGGACCAGGCCTGAGCATGGATGCCTGGGTCCCGGGTCCCTGGTCCCTGGCCACTGTCTGCCCCGCACCTGACCCCCAAAGGCCTGTCCTCAGGCTGAACATCTGTCCCCATCCCAAACGTGCGGAGGAGGGGTCCTTCCCACCACCCTGGAAGATTCACTGCCTCCTGATTTGAGGAAGTGGGCCCAGAGAGGGCAAGAAACCCACTCAGGATGACACAGCAGGGTCACGAGCGGACAAGGGAGCGGAGTGTGGGTGCCCTGTTCTCCCAAGGGCCCTGGAGCAGGGAGCCTCGGGGTCTCCCATCCCCCTACACTCAGGCACCCCCCACACCCACGCACCCCCACACCCACACACACTCCCCCACACCCATGCACCCATCCCCCACATCACCCTGCACATCACCCCACACATGCCCCTGCCTGACCTTCCCCCAGCAACATGAGCAGCCCGGAGCCACCCACAGAGCTCCCTGAGCCTGATGACCCCACCGGGTTGACACAGCCCACGTACAGCAACCTCGGTGAGTAGCTCCCCTGGGAGCCCTGGGCTGGGGGGAGGGCGGGGCATGGTGGGGGCGGGTGTGCCAGGCATCACATCAGAGGAAGGCCCAGAGGGGGCAAGGGCTGAAAAAGAACCTGTGGGTTGGTGGGCAGGGCGCGGGGGCTCACGCCTGTAATGCCAGCACTTTGGGAGGCCAAGGCAGGTGGATGGCTTGAGCCCAGGAGTTCAAGACCAGCCTGGGCAACACAGCGAGACCCCATCTCTATAAGAAATACACACACACACAAATTAGATGCACATGGTGTCAGGCGCCTGCAGTCCCAGCTACTCAGGAGGCTGAGGCAGGAGAATTACTTGAACCCAGGAAGCGGAGGTTGCAGTGAGCCAAGACTGCGCCATTGCACTCCAGCCTGGCAACAGAGCAAGACTCTATCTCAGAGAGAGAGAGAGAGAGAGAGAGAGAGAGAGAGAGAGAGAGAGAGAGGAGGCTGGGCACGGTAACTCATGCCTGTAATCACACCCTGTATCCCAGTACTTTGGGAGGCCAAGGAGGGAGGATCACTTGAGACCAGGAGTTCAAGACCAGCCTGGCCAACACGGCAAAACCTATCTCTGCTAAAAATGCAAAAATTAGCTGGATGTGGTGGGGCACACTTGTAATCCCAGCTATTCAGGAGGCTGAGGCAGGAGAATCGCTTGAACCCTGGAGGCCAAGGTTGCAGTGAGCCGAGATCACGCCACTGCACTCCAGCCTGGGCAACAGAGCAACTTGGTCTCAAAAAAAAAAAAAAAAAAAAATGGCCAGGCGCCATAGCTCCAACCTGTATAAGCACTTTGGGAGCCCAAGGCAGGTGGATCACCTGAGGTCAGGAGTTCAAAACCAGCCTGGCTAACACGGTGAGACCTCGTCTCTACCAAAGTACAAAAATTGGCCGGGTATGGTGGCGGGCGCCTGTAGTCCCAGCTACTCGGGAGGCTGAGGTGGGAGAATCGCTTGACCCTGGAAGGCGGAAATTGCAGCGAGCCAAGATCGCACCACTGCACTCCAGCCTGGGCGACAGGAGTTCAAAACCAGCCTGGCTAACACGGTGAGACCTCGTCTCTACCAAAGTACAAAAATTGGCCGGGTATGGTGGCGGGCGCCTGTAGTCCCAGCTACTCGGGAGGCTGAGGTGGGAGAATCGCTTGACCCTGGAAGGCGGAAATTGCAGCGAGCCAAGATCGCACCACTGCACTCCAGCCTGGGCGACAGAACAAGACTCCGTCTCAAAAAAAAGAAAGAGAAAAGAAAAAAGGGAGAGAGATACCTGCCCAAAGCCACGGAGGTCAACAGGAGTCACTGAGGGCTGGGTTGCACCACTCTCTGAAACTGATCCAGCCTCCTATGAGCCTCAGTTTCCCCTTCTGTGACCTAGGGGTGGGATCCTCTCCTACAAGGCACAGAGCGGTTAATATTATTGTCTTTCTTTTCTTTTCTTTTTTTTTTTTTTTCTGAGACAGGGTCTCACTCTGCCACCCAGGCTGGAGTGCCGTGGATCCATCCTACCTCACTGCAGCCTCTGCTTCCTGGGCTCAAGCAATCCTCCCACCTCGGCCTCCTGAGTATCTGGGGCAGTAGATACGCACCAGAGTGCCCAGCACATTTTTTTTTTTTTTTTTTTTTTTAGAGACAGGGTTTCACCATGTGAGCCAGGATGGTCTCAATCTCCTGACCTCAGGTGATCCATCTGCCTCAGCCTCCCAAAGTGCTGGGATAACAGGCATGAGCCACCACACCTGGCCCCCGCAAATGTTTTCTATTATTTATTTATTTATTTATTTTTCTTTAATGATACTTTTTTTTAATCCCATCTTGAATTGTAGCAAACTTTGTTTTACCCAGCAAAATTTTTATTTTATTTATTTATTTATTTATTTATTTTTTAATGGGGTTTCACCACGATGGCCAGGCTGGTCTTGAAACCCTGACCTCAGGTGATCCACCCACCTCGGCCTCCCAAAGTGCTAGGATTACAGGCGTGAGCCACCGCGCCCAGCTCTGTAGCAAATTTTTTTAAAAATTTTTTTCAGAGACAGAGTCTCCCTGTGTTGCCCAGACTGGTCTCGAACCCCAAGCCAGACTGATTCTCCTGCCTCGGCCTCCACCTTCCTAAGCGCTGGGGTTACAAGCATGAGCCACCGGCGCCCCACCTTATGACTTCGCTGTTAGCGATGGGGAAACCGAGGCTCAGAGGTGGAGTCACATGTCCCATTCCCACTCCGCCTGTCCTCAACCCTCCCCACTGTCTCCCCCTGCAGGTGAGGTCCGTGCCCACCTGCTGCCCTCCAAGGCCTGCCGCCCCCGGACCCCTGGGTCCCCCTCCAGCGACCCACAGCCCCTGCCCCCACCCCTGCCCCAGAAGATCCTAACCCGGACGCAGTCACTGCCCACACGCAGGGGCCTCCACCCCAGCTCTACCCAAGTAAAGCCGCCCCGGAGGCCCCTTCTGGGGTCCCACAGTGTGGACGAGAGCCAGGCCGAGGCAAGACCAGCCGGTCCCCCTGCAGAGCTGACCTTCGGTCTGGCCGAGGCCCCGCTGCGCCTCTCCCTCCGCGATCTGCACAGCCCGGAGGCCGTGCTGGCTGCACTGGCTGCCCAGCAGCTGGAGGGCCTCCGTGCCATCTACGTCCGGCTCCGCGCCCGGCTGATGGGAGGCCACCCCGGGCCCTGCCGCCCCGGCCACGGCTTCCGCCTCCTGGACAGCTCGCCCTGCGCGGAGAGCGGGGACGCCCTGTACTACCGCGTGGTGCGCGTGCACGAGGAGGCCTGGCACATCCTGGCGGCCAAGGTGAGCCCCTCGCCCCACCTTCTCTGAGGCGTCCCTTCCCATCTTAGCATGACCCAGGGCTTGTTTGGCCCAGCCTTGTGTTAGTTGCACCGCACGTGGAAGCCGGGCGTGGTGGCTCAGGCCTGTCATCCCAGCACTTTGGGAGGCCGAGGCGGGAGGGTCACTTGAGGTCAGGAGTTCGAGACCAGCTCGGCCAACATGGTGAAACCCCAGCTCTACTAAAAATACAAAAAAATAGCCAGGCGTGGTGGTGGGCGCCTGTAATCCCAGCTACTCGGGAGGCTGAGGCAGGAGAATCGCTTCAACCCGGGAGGCGGAGGTTGCAGGGAGCCCAGACTGGGCAACAGAGTGAGACTCTGTCTCTAGGGGAAAAAAAAAATAGGAATACTGGAGACTGGGTAATGAGTAATTTACAGAGAAAAGCGCCTTAATTGGCTCCTGGTTCTGGTGGCTGCTGCTCAGGCAGCAGATGTGCCACCCAGTGGGAGCGGGAGGAAGAGCCGGGCGAGGGCCGCACACGGGGACACAGCCAGACCACAAGAGAACTCACTCTCTATCCCAGCCACAGTGCTGAGCCACGCACCATAAACCACCCCCAAGAGGCAGTCCCCTCCCACCAGGCCAGGCCCCACCTCCAACATGGGGGTTACAATTTCCGTGAGAGTTGCTGGGGACACATCCGAACCATATTAGACTTCACTGTTGATTTATTTATTTATAGAGATGGGGTTTCACCATGTTGGCAAGGCTGGTCTCGAACTCCTGACCACAGGTGATCCGCCCGCCTCAGCCTCCCAAAGTGCTGGGATAACAGGCGTCAGCCACCGTGCTGGGCCAAACTTCATTGCTTATTTTGTAACTAACACATGAATCAACGCAGTGAACCCAGGAAACCATGTTTCTAAAGTGTGGCGCCACAGGTTATTTCCTGCAAGCGGTTGTGAAAGCCCCTCCCACACCTCTCAGGGGCCCAGGATCTGCTTTTGTTTGGGTTTTTGTTTTTTGGTTTTTTTTTTGAGACGCAGTTTCACTCTTGTTGCCCAGGCTGGAGTGCAGTGGCACGATCTTGGCTCACGGCCACTTCAACCTCCCAGGCTCAAGTGATTCTCCTGCCTCAGCTTCCCGAGTAGCTGGGGTTACAGGCGTGCACCACCGCACCGACTAATTTTGTATTTTTAGTAGAGATGGGGTTTCTCCATGTTGGTCAGGCTGGTCTCGAACTCCCAACGTCAGGTAATCTGCCTGCCTCAGCCTCCCAAAGTGTGAGCCACTGCACCTGGCCTTTTTTTTTTTTTTTTTAACACAGAATCTCACTTTGTCACCCAGGTTGGGAGTGCAGTGGCATGATCTCGGCTCACTGCCACCTCTGCCTCCTGGGTTTAAGCGATTCTCATGCCTCAGCCTCCTGAGTAGCTCGGATTACATGTCTCTACACCACGCCTGGCTAGTTTTGTATTTTTTTTTACTCTTACTTTTATTTTATTTTTTTAGAGACCGGGTTTCACTACGTTGGCCAGGCTGGTCTCGAACTCCTGACCTCAGGTGATCCACCCACCTCGGCCTCCCAAAGTGCTGGGATTACAGGCGTGAGCCACCGCGCCGGGCCCAGGAATCTTCTTTGGAACTCACTGCCCAGGGACATTCTGCCACCATCTTCCGCCCTGGCTTAATTTTCCTGAAAGTCGTTACAGTAGGTGACTAACTTCCAAATTCACATGGACCCTCTGCTTCTGGAGGGATGCAAGGCAGCCCCTCCCCAGCCGTAGTGGGGGCGGTTTGGGGTGCGGGGGGAGGCTTCAGGTCAGGCGGCACGGGGGCAGGCGGTGCTGGGAGGATCAGTAATCCAGGTCCTGATACCCCTCTGCTTTGCAGGTGCCCAAGCCCGGGGCGGACGTGCCCCACCCGTGGGGCCTGGAGCTGCAGGCCTCCCTGTCCCCGCACTTCAATCTGCAGGGGCTGTGTGGCCTGGTGCCGGAAGGCACGCTGCCCGGGGCGCCCTGGAGGGGCGCGGTGGCGCTGGCAGCGGAGGTGCCCGAGCGCACGGTGGCGCAGTGGCTGGCGGAGGCCTGCGCGCAGCCGCCGGAGGAGTTCGCGTGGGCCGTGGCCCTGCAGCTCCTGCAGCTGAGCGCCGCCCTGGAGTTCCTGGAGGCCCGGGGCGCCGCCCTGAGCGAGCTGCGGCCGGAGAACTTGCTGCTGGCGGCCGCGCGGGGCTGTGCGGCGACGGGGCCCCCGCGCCTGCTCCTCGCTGACTTTGGCCGCGTCTGCCGGCGGCCCCCCGGCCCCCCCGGCCCCCACGCGCCGCAGCTGGGCCGCCTACTCCGCGCGCTGCTCGGCCTCGCTGCGCCCTCGACCTTGGCCTCGGGCCTGGAGCGCCTGGCCGCGCAGTTGACTCGCTGGCGGCCCTCGGCGGCCCGCACGCGGGGCGCGCTGCGGGCGCTGCTCTGGGGACCCGGGCCGGAGCTGCGCGGCCGGGGAGCACCGCTGGGGCCCTGGCTCAGGGCGCGCCGCGCGCTACTGCTCCTGCGCCTGGCAGAGCGGGCGGCAGGCGGGGAAGCGCTGGGTCTCGAGGACTGGCTGTGCTGCGAGTACCTGGCTGAGGCCACCGAGTCCTCGATGGGCCAGGCCCTGGCGCTGCTGTGGGACTGACCCCAACCCTCGGCGAACACACCTGGCCCAGGCCTGCCCAGGAGGCAGGGCTGGGGCTGAAGTCAGCGTCTCCGTGATAGCCGGGACATCCCCTTGCTGCGGAGTCCAGGGCGAAGCAGAGAGAGCAGTGCCTGTGCTCCAGAGCCTCCGCCTGCGCTGAGAATGGGGGTCAAGGGCTTCCCAGGGGTGCAGCTGCCCGTCCAGGGCTGGGGGCTGATGGCCAGCGCCTCCTGTGTGGGCAGCACCTCCCTGAAGCCAGGCCCCCACACCTGTTCCAGGAGCGGACACCCCGCTGATCACTGTCGATCTGAACGTGTTCTGCCTTCCCCAGCAGCCAGGGCGCTCTTCTGGCAGCAGGGTCTGTCACTGTCACCATGAGAGGCCAAGACCAGGACCAGAAGCATCCCTGGCCCTGGAGCACCCCCCTGTGCGGAGATGACCGGTGATTCTGGGTGTGTGATGGGGAATCGCTGGATGGTGTCAGGGGAAGGGAAGGCCCCCTGGGACCTTAGACACCCAGCCCACCTCAGAGGGGTCTGGACTCACTGTTCCTGAAAGTCCCGTTGGTTCTATGCCACCTCCCCCCAGCTCCTCTGCGTCCAGCCTGCCTCCTCCCTGTTCCTCCGTGACCACTAACTTCTTTCCCGCCCCCAAGCATCTGTGGAGGCTGTTTCCGCCGCCACACCGTTCCAGTTCTACTTCCTCTAAACAAATAAAGGTTCCCCCACCGGGCGCCCTGCTAGCTCCTTACCCTGCGTTCTCTGCCCACTCCCAGCAGGCAGCACCACCAAGGGGCATTTATTCCTCTCTCTCTCCTTACGTTACTGTCCCCAAGGCTGTGAGCTCCCTGGAGGCAAAGGCCAGGCCTGGCGCACAGTAGGTGCTCACTTAATACCGCTGGATGATGGAATAAACAAGCACAGAGGAGACTCACCCGTGGGGAATAGGAGTCTTCCTTTAGGCCTCTGCCACTTTCCACTGCCTTGCTCGTGGCCTCCCTGGAGCCCCAGGGTTGCCCCTCCATTCCATTTCCCATGGCGGTCCTATGAGGTCCCTCTCCAGCTCAAACACTCCCCATGGCTCCCCAGTGCCCTGGAATGCACACAGGGCTCTTCCCTTTTCAAGTCTCCAACCCCATGTTGTTCATCCTTCGAGGTACTTTCTGCTACCCGCCCCCACTTTGCCCAAGTTTTTTTTTTTTTTTAAGATCCGCCCACCTCAGCCTCACAGAGTGCTGGGATTACACGCCTGAGCCACCGCGCCCGGCGCCCAAGTTGTTTTTTACGCTGCAAACAGCCCCGTCTACTATGCTTGACTCGTATTCAGCCTGCAAGGCCTCAGCTCCAATGCACCTTCCCTGCATTTGCGCTGCCCTAACGAGCTGGGAGTGTCCGTGTCCAGGTCTGTCCTCCCAGCCGACCCCACCATCGCTCAGACAGCTGAATGGATCTCCCCGCACACCGAGTCTACCCCAATCTCTTTCCGCTCCTCCTTTCCTCCTCTTTCCAGCCGGTTTCCCGGCCACGCCTGGCCATGACTTTCAGGGTGGTGCTTCCGGCTAAGGCCGGCAGGTGGCGCTGCGGCCTCGCAGTGGGCGGACCCGGAAGCGCTCCCTGCAGGCCACACCCCCACCGGAGGCGCTCCTGCCCTGAGCGGCACGGAAGCCCCGAGGCGGCCATTGACTCGGCGCACCAGAAGGGCTGGGGAGGCCGGGCGCGGTGGCTCACGCCTGTAATCCCAGCACTTCGGGAGGCCGAGGCGGGTGGATCACGAGGTCAAGAGATCGAGACCAGCCTGGTCAACATGGTGAAACCCCGTCTCTACTAAAAATACAAAAAATTAGCTGGGCATGGTGGCACGTGCCTGTAATCCCAGCTACTCAGGAGGCTAAGGCAGGAGAATTGCCTGAACCCAGGAGGCGGAGGTTGCGGTGAGCCGAGATCGCGCCATTGCACTCCAGACTGGGTAACAAGAGCGAAACTCCGTCTCAAAAAAAAAAAAAAAAAAAAGGGCTGGGGACACCGGCCCCCAGGCGCAGGCCCAGGGTGGGGCGGGAGGGGACGCGAGGCAGGAAGGGGCCCCCTAGTGAGCAGTAAGAGCTGACACAGAGCTGACAGCCCGGGCCTCCCAGCCTGGGGAGTCCTCCCTGGGAAAGGTCCTCCAGCTGTCCAAGTGACAAGTGCCCCGAGACCCATCCGGCCAGGGCCCTCTGTGGGCCGGGGCACTCTTCCCCACAGTCGCTGGCATTAACACCACGGAGCCACGTGCATGGGGTGTAATCACTTTATTGGCTTTTGGAGAGAATAGAAGGGAGATGAATACCTATCTTTCCAAGTTAAAAGACCTAAGACTGTTTCCAAAAGACTCCAAATAAGAAACTTCTCCTCCAAGTACAAGGATAATCTGAATCATCTTAAACCAGCAATAAAAAAGTAAAATATAAATTTTTATTTAGAATTAAAGCAAATACTTCAGTATCACAAACACAATATTCAACTTCAAGAAATATACCGCTAATTTGGAGTGAGCATTTATTTGCACAATTACAACATGCGGACAAACCCAGGCGAGATGAGCTAGTCTACGGTTCCCAGCTGATGGGGGCGACCCCAGGGGCTTGATGTGCAGCCCCACCGAGGCTGCTACTCCTCCTCGCCGGAAGACTCTCTCTCGAACGTGTAGGCCATGAAGCAAGCGTCGGGTCTCTTGGGGACAAGGGGATGCCCCGGTCTCACAATCTCAAAGCCCAAAAAGCTGAAGGTCCGGAGCAAGGCGGCTGCGGGGAAAAGGCCGTCAGATGTCAGAGCCACCAGTACCCAGAAGCCCCTGCTGGGATGCCCAAGGATGTGGGGGAACGGAGACCAAGCCTGTGGGTTGAGAGTGAAGGGGTAGGACGGGCACCCCCACACGTCCGCTGCAGGAGATGCGGTCACCTACCTCTGTCCTCACGGTTCTTGTGGAAGCAAATAAAGACATGGTCGGCTCGCAGCTGCTCCTCAGCAAACTCCAGGAGAACTGCGAAGCTACAGCGCGAGTGAGCACCTTGACAGCCAGACGCACCCACCTGTCCACCTCCCTCCTGGGCTAACAGCCACCCAGAAGGCTGCTCTACTCTGGGGTCCCCCTGGGTCCAGATCGTCTTATAGATGGGGCTGTCCTGAGAGAGCAAGGTACTGAGCAGCACCCCTGCCCCAACCCACGTGCAGCCCCCATGTCAAAAAAGTTCTCAGACACTGCCTGGCGTCCCCTGAAGGGCGGAATCCCAGGGTAGTAACTTGAAGTGAACCTTTTTTTTTTGACACGCAGTCTCACTCCATCGCCCAAGCTGGAGTGCAGAAGCGTGATTTGGCCCACTGCAACCTTCACCTCCTGGGTTCAAGCGATTCTCCTGCCTCAGCCTCCAGAGCAAGTGGGACTACAGGTGTGCACCACCACACCCAGATAAATTTTGGATTTTTAGTAGAGACGGATGGGGTTTCACCATGCTGGCCAGGATGGCCTAGATCTCTAGACCTCGTGATCTGGCTGCCTCAGCCTCCCAAAGTACTGGGATTATAGGTGTGAACCGCTGTGGCCAGGCTGGAGTGACTTTATAAAAAGGGACCCTGTTCCCACCCAAAAAGCAACGGCAGCCCCCATATTTGCTGCCTGAGAGCAATGCCCTCCCTCATCTGTCAGTGACCCCCTTGGGCAGCGCCCCCACCTGCTCCATGCACACCTGGGTAAGCACTCCCCACCTGTCCTTGCCTCTCACCTGTCCTTGCTCCCCTCGGGCAGCGCACCGCCGGGGATCTCGATGTAGAGGCTGCCGCCACTCAGCACTGCCCGCCAGTTAATGTGTTTGGCATCTGTGAGCCTGGACTGGACGTTGAGAATCCTGGTCTTGTCGTTGGACGTTAGTTCCTCTGTTACATTCAGCCGATCATCCTGTCCAGAGGACGGTGCAGCCCAATTCACAACCCCTCAATTCAGAAGCCCCACTCGCCCTACAGGGCTCCAAGACCCCTGCCACCCCCGGCAGCACTAAGGCTGAGGCCTCGGCTATTATTCAGCTCAGGCAAGGCCTGAGCTTCAGGAGTCCGTACACCAGCTCTGACGAAACTCTTAGGTTCCCGGAATTAAACTAAAATCGCAGGTACAGGGCAGAAAAGTGCACACGACGCGCCTGCGGCCCCAGAGCAGCCCCAGAGCACCCCATTCCACCGTGGCAGGCCCGGCCCCATACTCACAGAGTAGAATAAATTAGCTGAAAGATTGTGATCCCTCTGACTATTCCCTCGCCCACCTGGGATCTTCAGGGGTGGGTGAGGGGCATCAGGAGCACCACCGAGGCCCCGGACCCGGGTTACTACAGCAGAGGAGAGACACCCTGGAACTGCAAGAGACGCGGGTCAGGAGGCGGCGCCGGGCTCCACACAGACACCCCTCCAAGGTGCGCGGGCGGCCTTCAGTCGCAGTCAGCCCCGGCCAGAAGACCCCACCCCGCCCCCACACACTAGGCTTCCCAAGGGCAGAGCAGCAGTCACTGAGCCTCGACTCCTCGGACAGCATCGCCCAGGCCTGCCCAACCCTCACTGGGCGCGGGTCCCTTCCCCTCACCCCGCCCTCGCCAGCGCTTCCTCTTTCCAGCCCAGCCACCGGTTCCCCTTTCCACCCTGCACTGCGACCACAATCTGGAACCCTGGCTTGTCCCGGGGAGGGGGGCAGTGGGGGCCTAGCCTGACCTCGCGGAGGACGCGCCCCGCTACGCTCCTGGCCGCCTCCTCCCCCCCCCCCCCCGCTTCGGGCCCGGGCCCTCGCGGTTGCGTCATCTCGGCAGACGCGGCCCCGCGCCCCGGGGGAGATTTTCACAATCGCGCAGTCGGCAGCGCCAGCAGCCATTTGCTGCGCAGTGTAAACAGGCCCCAAAGTCGCCTCCATTTTGCACGGCCCCCAAACGGCGGCACCTTCAGCACCGCGGCCAAACTTCCCGATCCCGGGGTTGAGTGGCGCCCACCTAGGTGGACGCCGTCGGGGAGGCTTCGCCGAGACCCCGTGGGCCCCCCAAACACCGCAGCTAGCATCCGCGTCCCGGAAAACAAGACGCGTGGTCCCGGGAGGCGGCGGCAGGGGTCTTGACCGAGCGCTGCCGGGGTGTCAGGAGGCGGGAGAAGCCCTGGGTGCCGCCTACGTGCGCGGCCTCGCACCCCGCTTCCCCGGCCATCCAGACCCGCTCGCTCCGGGGCGAAAAACGGGGCCCACGAGGTCGGCCGCGTGCGGAGGCCACATCGGGGCGCGGGGGGGCCCGCGGGAGTCTGCCCGCCGCGAAGCACTTACGGCTCCCGCACCGCGAGCTCCACGACTGGGACCGAAAAGTGCAAATTCACCCGCCCCGCGAGCCCTGCGTAGCCTCGGACCAGCCCCCGACAGGGCCGACCCCGCCCCCAACCAGATTGCCCTCCGCGT